CAGAGCATCGGATCTGGCTTTTTCCCACACGTGCGGAGCCCACTCTTACACGTGCGGCAAGTGTCTCCTGCACGTGCGGCCCTTCACTCCCGCACGTGCGACACCTCCCTGCACCTCTTCACGCACGTGTGTGGACGTGCCCAGAGAACTCCTGAGAAAATCTCGTTTTGTTCTCTAGCTACTACAGTTCGGACTCAATGTCACGGTTCTGAATCTAATCTCGCAAAGTGCGATGCAAGACCGATAAATCACCAAAGAGTCCAAATCTAACAAATCGTTTTGGAAAACTGATTTTTAAGAAAGAAGTGCCAAACATGGACTGCTTTGCCAGATACAGTGTCACTACCTAAATATTTTATTTTGGGGGATTTAGGAAACCCTGACTCGTGCCTAAGGCCACGTGTTCATCATCACCAAAGTTGCCTCGGCTCGGGAACTTGGGTATGAGAAGGGAAAGTCATGCAATGAGCACCCCCGCTCGCCCGATCAAAAGATCGGCCTGTACTAAGTATGATATCTTGTTTTTGAAAATACATGCGTTCTTATTCCGACTAATTAGCTAGAATTACTATGTGATGCGCACAACACACAAGTATAGACTAGACTGTCTAATTTGGAACAAAGCATCGCATATCCATTTGTTTGGAAATGGTTTGAAGTTTGCTACTCGCAAGTAGGCTAAAACACGGATTTCAATGAATCGTTCCAATTCAAGTAATCCAACCATCACCCACAAGCATTCAGGCAGTTATATCACATAAGCAATTAGCCTCATGGCAAGCATGCTATCATGTTAACACTCACATACATGCAAGATGCTAAAGCGTAAACACTCACAGTGTACTCCGAGCCAAAATAAAGAACAACAATGATTCATCCCACTAAAAATATCACCACTAATAGCACTAATGCATTAAAAAAGTAAAAAAAAAATAAAAAAAATACAACTCCAAGACCAAAACATCACATCATTAATGGCGGGACCCACTGCCACCTAATTAGTGGGAGCACTAATTAGTGCTCCCAAGCATTTTTCAATAAAGAACTAGTTAGTAATCAATGCATGATCCAAGTCCATGTTAAGATGGCTAATGCAACACATGCAAAATGCAACTAGAAATAAGCTCGGCTATTCTAAGATGGCATATGAGATGCGACAACTTGATACATGTATTCAAGTAGGAATTGAAATACAATGCAGTTAGTATGATGCGCCGAGCCCGGTGCATGCAATATAGATGAATGATGCAAACATGCATAGCATAAGGATGCTAAATGAAATATGCCCTAAAACTAACCGTCGTAAGCAGTTAAGTAAAAAGGAGAAAGAAATGGGGGTTGGAAGACATGCATCATACACACGCACGCTTGTTACAACAATAGGCCCTCTCGACGGAGGGTCCGAAAGAATAAAACAAACCATCTAATTAACTAACTAACAAGCTAATTAATTACTACACAATCAAATGAATAACTAGCTACATCTAATTATTACAACACTTAAATAATTAACAAATTAGTTAAGCTACGAAAAACAATAAAGAGGCCTTAAGAAGAGGGACAAATGCATGCTTGATCGGCTTTGCTCGGAAATCCGTTGCCATACCTCATGTTGCCTCTGTTTGCACTGCTCTGCACCTCTGAGAACTGTGAAAAGTCATGTAATGCTCTAGAACCACTTCATGGACATGCTAAGAGGCCATCGGCCAAATGGTGAAGCCATCGGCCAAAGAAAAGGTGTCATCGACCATTTATGAGGTCATCGGCCAAACACTTTTAGCCAATCGGCCATCTTTTCCTGCAAAAAACTGTTTTGCTGCAGTAGAGGTATGGCAGTACATTTACATGACAATGTTTGCAACTACACCCCTTATCATGTTTAAGGCTCAAAGGTGTGTAGTTCTTGACCCTCGGACCATCAATCACGCATTCCAATGCATGATGGCCAAAGGAGCCAAGTGTGCAATTCAATGTGGAATGAATGCACAAAACACATAAGGGGGCCTCAACCTCTATCATGTTTGCTCAAGAGGCAAGGCATGCACACACAATGCTATGCAAACATGAAAACATGATGTGATGAAATTAGCATGCAACAACATGTAATGGAATTAGCATGTAACAACATGTAATATGCCAAGTATGCAACAAGCATGCGACAACATGTAAGGCAAGCATGCAACATGCGAAGATGGACTTAAACTAAAATGGACAGCTCTCAAACATGCCCAAATCAGTGGCCAAAGTTATGAATTGGAAGCATGAAAATGCAAAGCAAACATGCACATATAAATGGTCCATCACCTAGGCATAGGAGGGAAACTTTCAAGAGCACTTAAAATGGGACAAATATGGACATGTGACAAACATTGTAAGCTCTGAAATCATGCATGGAAAGGTGCCAAACCAACCGAACAAAGAAAGAAAAGCATACAAGAAAGCCCAAAGCTCAAGGCTAGCCAAAGGACTCAAACCATGGCCATGCAAGGCAAGCCCCAAAGGGCCAAGGGCACTCAAAATAGTCCCAAGGCAGGTCAAGACAAGACCAAAAACATGCTTGAAACTAGCCAACACAAGCTAGAATACAACTCCAAAAGGCATGAGGCATGCAAGGCTACAAAGGGGTGTTGCACTACACCTATCAAAACCAAACATGGAATGAATTATCCAATGAAAATCAGAGTTATGGCATATCAAAATAAGCCCAAAAACCCACTTAGATGGTATCCCAAAGACCTAAGCATGGAGGCATGCACAATGATCCATTCATGAGACATAAGACATCAACTCTTTAAAGCATTAAAGGAGTGATAAGTGCAAGTATGTGAGCATGAAACATGGACTGAAATAACATTTTAAATGATGCCAAATCATGATAATAGTCCAAGTAATGCATGCTAGAGGACTCAATACTCAAAGCTAATAAGCTAGATTGAACCAAGGCTATACAAAGCAAGTCAAGCATGACCAAAACAACACCAAACAGACTTTAAGCATGGTAAAACAAGGCTAAAAACTTCTTTGGGTCAAGCCAAAATCATGCTGAAAACATGGCTTAAAGCACAAAGCATGTTAAGGCAATTGAGAGGATTGTAAGACAAGTACATGAAGCATGTAAGAGCCAACTAAGCCCACCCAAAATAAAGTCATGGCATGCTAAAACAACACCAAAGACCTACTGAAATGGAGTCAACATAAGCTAGAAAGGCATGCTCAAACATGAAGCATATAAGACTAGTTTGTGTGACTTACACTACAAGTGTATTAGGCATGCATGGAGTGAGAAAACCAAGAAAAAATAGTGTTGTATCATGGCAAAACAAAGCCTAATACATATTGAAATGAAGCTAAAACAAGATAAGCAAGCATGCTACCAATATAAGCCATTTATACTAGCATACAAGACAACAAGGAGAGGGGATGACCCTCTCCTATTTAAGACCTCAAAACCACCTTTTCACTACTAAAAATCCTCTGGATTTCAGTGGTAGGAAGTTCATGCAAGACCAAGAACAAGGGCCAAAAGGGATGTCCTAAAGCAAGGCCTAATAAGGCCTTGGAGGGAGGAGATAACCCCCAACCAAAAAGTGACCTTAAACAAAGATTTAAAGCATAAAAAATCAGAACTTATTGTAGTTTAGAGTCAAGCTTAAAACAATAAGCAAAAGGGGCTAAAAGCTTAGGCAAGAATGGGGGTTTAAAAGCAAGTTTGCTCACCCTTGAAGAACACCTTCAAGAACAAAGCTCTAGCAGGTTTTCCAGGCTTAAACCACCTCAAGAACTCTAACACCAACTCCCTAGCACCTCAGCAACCAAGGATGGTGTTCTACTAGGTGCTCTAGTGCTAAAGTGTGAACAAAAATACACTTTAGAGCACAAACACACACACAAATGCAGAGAGAGGAAGATATACAGAGAGAGAGAGATATGTATCACTCTTATATCAGATTTTCAGAACCCCTGAGAAGGGAGGAGGAACTCCCTTCTTATAGAATTCCAATTCCAAAGCTTCCTAAGCAAGCTAAAACAAGGTTCAAATCCCTCCATACACGTGTATGGAGGATGTGAATTGTGCATGCCTGCTGTGACAGCTGGCATAAAATATCTGCATAAAGCAAATGAACAGGGTTCGGCCAAAAAACATGGCCGATCAACCAACACAAGGGCTGATCGACTAAAAAGAGTGCCGATCGGCCAACACTTTTGGCCGATGGCAAGAAAACAAGGCCGATGGCTTCATGCCTTGGCCGATGGGTTGAGGGGATGGCCAACAAGCCACCTTCTTCCCTTAGAAGCAAAAACACAAGTGTTTGGTCCACAACCAAGCACAAAACAGACAAGTTGAGATCCTAAGGCAAGGCGCACGGCCGAGACCTTCGGGAACTCAAAACGAACACGAACATGAATGATCATCGAGTGTTCAAGCGATGACGTCCAAGTCTTGAGGATGGTCAAAAATGAGGTGTCTACAACGTGCATTTATTCAAGTATGCACTGCCCAGCCTCCCATGTTTCCCGCACGTGCGGCCTGGCCTCTCGCACGTGCGGCCTAGGACCCTACATGTGCGGCTCTCACCCAGCAGCCCAAAAATTCCTGATTCCACTCCCGGGCACTTCGAACCCAACTGTGCACTCTCCGGAATAGGTGAAATTCCACACCGAAGAAGATAAGAATAAGAACTTTATTTTGAAAATTATTTTCGAATGCTTCAAACCCAATAAGAGCGAGAAGAGAATGGAGTGAAAACGAAAGAAAAAGAAAGAAAACAAGACCCGATCGTCACAACTAGTAAAATATTAATAATTTTCTCTTTAACTTTTTAGAAATTCCATAGATTCTGAAATTTGGTGATTTACATTGTAGACTCTTACCTTAAACATATAACAAAACTAGTTAAATTCTTTTCCATGCTAATCAAATTAATGTTAGCACCCACTAGCTTGTGTCACGTTTTAAAGCCTCCCTTAATTTGATTTTAACTTCCATTTATTAATTTAAGAAAAGACATTTCATCATAGGTGTTCAAGATGCTTATTGGGAAGTGCTTGACAAGGGAATGATCACGCAAACTACTGCAAATACCTTGATGCAATCTGTGGATGAAGCAATTGACTTGGTATCTCATAGGCCCTTGTGCGATTGGAAAGGTTTAAAAGCACAGGTGCATTTCCCAAATTATTACAAGTTTCTTCAATCAAGCATTTGTCTACCAAAGCTGGTTACATATTTCACTGTGGAAAGGTTGGAATCTGCCTGTTGCATTTCTGCTGCATTTCTCCAAGCCCATAGAATCGTACGACGGCAAGTACATGACTTCATTTGTAAGAATTTTTTGTATGTTCTTGAATGTTTTAGGTTGTCATAACTTTGTCTTTTTCAATGTCTTTTACTTTGTAGGAGTGCACAAATTCTATGAAACTAAAAATGCTTCTTTTTAGTTTAGACAATAGAGAATGAAAAAGAGAATGCATACAATGTTTGTGCCAAGACGGGAGTGAATAGGCCAAACCCTAGGTATTACAAGCCAATTAAAAATTTAGATCAAGCAATAATAGGAATCAGTTCAACATAACAATTCAAAGTATTGTCAATGAATCCAAAGGCAACCACACAAATTGCAGTCATAATAAGATACACAAGCAATATACATGGAAAACCCTAGGAGCAACCATTCCTATGTGGAAAAACCATGATTAGCCCTCTTAGAGTAAACAATCCATTAGACCAAGTGTTTTAAATACAAGATTTAGGAAAAGTGAGTTTGAACCCGAATTTGGATGCAGTTTATCCTTGATGTCTAGAGCCACAAACTTCTTGTTTGATCTCCACTTGCAAGTGACTATAAACACAAAACTCCATTGAATTCTCCCCCCTCCCTCTCTCTCTCCAGATAGTGCGATCATGAATTCCCTCTCTTGATTCATTTCTCTACTTAATTTTTTCTCTCCAAATATAGCTACTGCCATTAAAGCACATGTTTTGAGCTTTGGTCTCTTTTGCTCACTCCCTTCATTCTCTTTGACCTCTCTGTCCATGGTTGTGGGTGGCTTCTATATTCGGTTATGAGTTTGCCATGGTTGTTTGGTCACAGTTTGGTAGTGTAGACACCTCATTTTTGACCGTTCTTAAGACTTGGGCGTTACTGATGGTTTACTTAGTGGAGAAAGGTGTGAAGGGCAAAAGTTCAGTTTCTTCGGCAAGGAGAGAGCCAAATCTCAACTTCGCACCCCATTTTGGACCAAAGCTATTTTGAATGGTTTTTAGACTTTAAAACCCTCTCTTTCAAAACATTTTTGAAATAAAATTCCTACGATGCTCTAAGACTCACATTTTGTCAAATAATGCGCTTTTCGATAAACCGAGCAAGGACAAAGTGGAAATTAATGAAAGAGAGATGAAATCTTTGAAAAATCTTTCAAAACACCTTACTTAGAGGTTTGAAGTTGAAGAAAAGAGGAGAAGAGGGGAGAAAACAAGTTGGAGAAGAAGTTCGACAAGGATCAGGGCAGAAGAGAGTCGAACGACCCTCGCTGAATCAGGCTTATTCATCAGCATACTTGGATTTTAGCTATGAGGCCACCACCGTTGGAAAGCTTACTTCCGGGGCTTCGTTTTTCACTCAAGAATCTCCTAAAGCCAAGTCTGGGTGGGGGACATATGGTTGGTTGAAGTTGGGCATCATCCCGGTTGGATCGAATCTGCGCAGCTTCACCAAAAAGGGCATAACTTTTTGTACAGGAGGAATTTTAATGCAAGGTTTGCGGCATTGGAAAGCTAACTTCCGGGGCTTCAATTTGGACACCCACTGGACACTTTTTGACCTTGGAAGCATCTATTGGAAATCTATTTAGCCGACCGGCAATTTATTGTGTAGACCAGCCATTTATTTTGGCCGACGACCTTCTTTTCTGGCCGTTTTGACCTTTTTGCACCTTCCAGGCATGGGGCATGCCAGCTGTGCCAGCTGGGATGCACAAACCCGTCCCCCACACACATAGGTGGTTGTTTTGAGCCCTTGACCCCTTTTTTTGCACCCTTTGCTCAAGGCTTCTTGAGGAAGCCTTGACCCCTTATCTTGGCTTCCTCAAGAAGCTTACCAACTATCCTAGCTTCCGTGAGAAGCCTTGGCCCTCTTGCCCCCCTTGACCCTTTCTCTTATGCTTGTCTTATAAGCTTAGAGCCATTTCCATTGCCTATTTAAGGGCCTCTCCTCCTCCATTGTTAAGGGTTGATGGGTTGAACAAAAAACCAGACCTATACATATATATCTGATATATATCCCCCTCTCTCTCTATATCTCCCTCTCTCTCCTCATTTGGGTGTGTTAGAGGGCTCTAAAGTGTGAGGTTCTTGGCCCTTTACACTACACCTCCAAGCCTACTACCTCCACCATCCATTCAAACACCTTGAGGCTGATTTTCAGAGGCTAGGAGCTCATTTTCTGGACCAAAGAGCTGCTGTCACCTTTTGGCTACAAGGGTAACACACTTTTCCCTCTTTGTTCCCCATTTTTGCACACACTTTTAGCCTATCTTGCTTTCTGTTTTGAGCTTAGTGTATAACTGAAAAAAGTCTTGTTTTTAGCTCCTTTTCAAGTTTGTTTAAGAACACTTTTGTGTTTGGGGTTGTCTACCCCCTCTTAGGCCTTGTTTGGCCTCATTTTTTGCATTTTTTGTGAGCTCCGGGACCACCTTGTTTAGGCCTCCTCACCACTGAAATCCAGAAATCTAAGGGATTTCCAGTGGTGAGGACGGGTGTCTTAAGGTCCTAAGGAAGGAGAGGGCCATCCCCTCTCCTTATGTCTCGTTACTTGCACTTTTGGCCTTACAAAGGGGCCTATGTTTGCACACCATTTGAAGCTTCGGTTTAGCATTTTTCAGTGGGTTTTAGGACCCTACAGAACTCGATTTTTCACAGTTTGATTTGGTCTGTGCTAAATGTCATCTGCATGTGCTTAATAAACTCCTTGCATGGCCTCTAAAGTAACTCATCATTTTTGCATGCCAGGTTGCATATCAAATGGTTATTTGGGACTATTTCACATATATCTATATCCATGATTTTGATGGTTTT